TGTCAGGTATGAACGTCTCCGATTTCATTTTTTATGTCATGTGAGTAAGCTGTGGGATATCAATCATCTTTTCTTGCATAGTTTCTTGAAGGCTGCCATCTCATTTTCATACTGAGTTTCTTAAAGGCTGTCGTTTCATTTTCATGCATATCTTTTATTAATTAGACTTCCCAGAAAATGCTTTCCCTAGCATTCCCCATAAACCTATCCATGACAAAAATAACCTGTATGATCACCAGATTGATGGTTTCTAAACTTTTGGCAGGTTCAGGTGATGGTAGTGTCTATGCTTGGGTGGTTCGGAGCGGGAAAGAAGTATGACAAATAATATATTCTTCTTTCATTTGTAATGATTTGTTCCCACTTTAATACAGTGTGTGTGCACCTTACGCTTCTATCCGGTGCAACTTATGTTTGTAACCTATCCAGGTCACAAGCTGGAAGAGCACCGAAAATGAACCTCCAGTTATCAAATGGGCTCCCGGAAACCTCATGTTTGCAACTGGATCGTCCGAACTACCATTTTGGATTCCAGATTTGTCTAAGTTGGGATCTCACGTTGGAAGAAAGTAGAAATTTCTGGTCATCTCACCGCAAATTTCTAGCACAAAGCAGTTCAAAGATTCCATTGAACCGTCAATTTGTTAGTGAAACTTGAAGTAACCGCCGGAGTTCCATCAAACTGTTGTCGTATATCGTCCTTCCCTCCAGGACCCCAGTAACAGAAAAAAATAATTGTACTTCATATTATGAGTCATTCTTTTTAACTCCTACAAGTATATGCTTCTTTCTTTCTTCCCCCACTGTAAATTGTTTTATGGAGATGAAGTGTCAGACCAGAGGTGGAGGCCACACTCACACTCATGACAAAATAGGTGTTTCGCTTATGTTGGATTACCAGATGAAACCAAAATTCAGGGGAATTGTGGACGACGTCAGTCATCCCATGCGTGAGTTATTGCAAGTTGTTGATCGGGAGAAAACTTACATGCACGACAATGTTATTGTGACCATATCTCAAATCAATCGCATTGTCATGCATTTTAATTTTCTCGCATGACATGGTAGTTTGTGATTGGATTAGAGATACTACTACAATGAAGTTTTCATTTTTACTTTTTTCGCTTAAGAATGTCTGATTAGTTTGGAGTACTGCAACGTAAGAATCTTTGTGACATGGAAGTTCTTCAGTTTGGGTGCGGACTGCAGTATAGAGTTACACTACGCAGATGTGGGGACTAATAAGTAGTAACCGTTGATTTGTGTGCATTTTACAGCCATCTTAATGGTTAAGGGAAAAGTTTAGTTATGGCCCCTAAATTTTGGACCTTGTTCCACTTTGAGCAATGAATTTTTTAGTTTGTTCCTTTAGAGTTAAGACCCTCTAAATATTCTATCACAATATTCCGTTAATTACATATCGTGCAAGCAATGCAACTGATCAACTTTGAGGGTCATATACATCAACAAAATGTTACATTCACAAGGATAACTACAACTTGTTATTCTGATAATTGAGTTATGAGAACAAAGTTAAGAGAAATTACAACTTACAAAGTCTTCTAATGTACAAAATAAACGAAAACAATCCTCAATTTGACAGAATAATCGACAGATCTAAACAACAAGTGGAACACTGACACAAATTGAAAGTTGGGGGGATTCAAAACCAAAGTAAAAGTTCATAGAGCAAAATGAAGCAAAGTCTATAATTCAGAGAACATTGCTAAAATATTCATGAAAAATCAAGTTGAATTAAAATGCAAATTAAGAGGCTAATTAAGGAGTTATCCTTTCAAAGAGAAGAGAAGGAAGATAAAACAAAAATCATGTGGGGAGGCATATGTGAGGACCAATTAATGGGTAAAAATCTTGAGCTCAACAATTCTGATAAAAATGGAAACCAAACCAACTTGGAAAATATGGATTTGAAACACTTTACATGAAACTGGCCAAAAAGCATGATGTATGTCATGCCTCATTTTGCTGGTTAGGGACATTACGTACTTGAAGTCACAGAAAGCTTTAAAGATTTTCTTCGATCCACAACTAAATCTTTTCTCTGTAATAATATATATATATATATATATATCAACCAAGGAAGAACAAGAAGCATTGTCTGTAGTTACCTGATTGAGGCCGCACCCGAGTCGTATTATCCTCTTCTTAAAGGCTTGCATGTCCTAAACGACATTAGGGTTTCTCCTAAGCTATAAAGTTTGAACTTTTGTCAAACCAGAAAAAGGAATGCCATCCCACCCAAAATCTTGGTGATGGGGACCCCTTTTATGGAGGTGCCCACAAGGTGCTCTACCAGACGCAAGAAAACTGAACCCCAAAATTACGAATGTACATAGACTGATAGAGTGAATATGTTTCGGTTGGTGAATGTCTTTGAGAATGTGTGTCATCATGTGACTCATTTTCTTGTTTATTTACACCCGCATTTTATCTTTGTGCTTTGTTTTAACTCATTTCATACCCATTAGGTGGTGTTGTCTTTGGCTTCTCCAAAGTTGTTCAATTGCAGTTAAATAACTAGATACTGCAATAAAGGGTTCGTAACTCAGATAACTAAGAGCATTTATTCTTACAATTGATGCACTTTGTATATTAGCAAAATATTGGACTATAATTTGCTAGCTGTATGGACACATACAAAGGTGTGAAATCATATGATTATGATATCCAAATTCAAATTGATCGCCTTTGGTTCTTTACATATAAGAAGTCATTCATTTTTTGCAAATCATTATCTGACACGTATCCAAACATAACTCATTGAAATTACAAAACTATAAGTTTACTTATATAGTTGTGTCCTAATTGTCCTATTAATTAACTTATGAATGAAAGTGTCTTATGTTAAACTTTAAATAATAATACTTTTTTTTTTTTTGAAGTTAGTCTAAATGGTGATAGCTGGGGTATATTGATTTATGATTATATTTAGGTCCAGAAGAAAGATTTTTTTAATGCGACTGGTATATGTTTTTTTAATGCGACTGGTATATGGGGTGGTACACCACGTGTCATTAAACAAATGGTGGGATATATGTGCTAAAAAGTTAATAACTTAAAAAATAAAATTTCACACCACTCCTATTAAAACACGTGGTGTACCATTTGTGTTCTCGTCACAACTAAAAATTTCTCTAGAAATTGATTCTTTTCAATATAATCGCAAAAGCACTAATCAATAGGTCATATGAAGAGGCATATGGTAGGCTTTGTGAACACACTTTTAGAACAAGTGAAGGGGGATGAAACGTTGGTCCAAACAATAAGATATGGCGACTAATTAAGTATTGAAACTTCTTTATTTTTTAAATTCTACTCTGCAAGAAGCCTAGAACCATGCAAGGTCCATAATAAAAATTGAGATTCACTCCATATCTTTGTGTCTAGAATTTGCGGATCGTGAGATTCAGATCACTAAATTTTATCATAGTCTCATTAGCTTATCTTACTGGCCCACTTCATAAGAACTCAAAAACTTGATCAGTCTGGATCTCCTTTTCTCTCTCTTGAATGGTGGAAATGTCTTGGTCTGGGACTTCAAACACAAAGATCCGGAGTGAATCTCATTCCCATAATAAGACCAAATATGAACAAATATTACATTGTTGCATTTATTGGATCAACACTTAAACATTCTGTCTTGATTGGATTTATTTTAAAGTCAAATATGAACAAATAATTTGCAACTTATGTATACCAAAAACAAGAAGAAGAAGAATAATGTTTTGGAATTTCCCAAGACCAAGAGGGTTCAAACTTCAAAATATATACTCTCCCCACTACCACTAGCTCCCGCCTCTACTTTATGAAAACGGCTGCATATACAAACACATTCACACACACTTTCATCTTTTTTGCCCAACAGCATGTCTTTCTATATTACATTTTTCTCCACACTCCCATTTCATATCATTGGCAAATCTTTTCGACATTGCACACACATGACACATGTGTATACACAACAAACCCTTAACGTAAAGCACTGTAGTTTACCCTCAAGTTCAAGGGCCCCAGCTAAAATTTCTATCGAGAAATTACGTCACACTTAGCAGAGCAGGCCTTCAGATTGAAATCTCCATCTACCATCATCTTCTTCGTGATCTCCTACTGATAAAGTGTTAATTAACTGGTAAGTGCTTGAAAATGACTAGGTCATTAATACATTATTTAATTCGGTGAAGGTGATTGCATACCATTCTCAGTAAAGTTTGGACCATTGGATCATGTTCTTGCTGACGATGAAGATTGAACAATATAAACTGACATATTACCTAATTAATGATGACTTATATAAAATGGATTCACTATTACCATTACATCTCAAACCATTAATACGAGTTTATGTATAAGACTTTTTACATGACTGTATTAATGGCCCAGGGAGTTACAATGACTATGAACCCGGTTCCATCAAAGTCCTTCTCTAAGCTTTTTTTTTTTTTTTTTTTGTCAAACAATAGATTTTCTTAGCTTAGATATTAGATTAGCCTCTGATAAGATTCAAACTCACATTATCATGCAAAAACTTAACTTCTTTCCACCACTGTTATAAAATGCCACTTGCAAAGTCTTTCTCCTACTTAACATCTATCTATATTATGAATGAATCATGGAATTATTATTATTTTATATATATATATATATATATATTACTGATTCCATGCATCTTGATTAGCAAATAATTATTATGGAATATTCTCGGGAAAGGGACAACTAAAAGTTAAAAGTAAGCTAATAAATCAGGAGATTAAGTTCTTTGCAAGACACGTGTCAAACCCAACAACTTTTGACGTAATTAAATGGTTCAAGCCAACAAAGCCTTAAAATATGTAGGAGTTAATCATATATAAAATAGTAGGGTAGTAGCCATACTGATCACAATTACAAGCTGATCATAGATTAAACTAGATATTATAGCAGCTAGCTTGCTAGAAGTAATTAGAATTAGAGACATGGAGGAATATTATTATTACATATAATTAACATGATCTGAAGCAATCAGGGGCCATGTGGCCGTAGGAATTGAGGCTAAGCTCAAGGGAAGTGCGAGACCCACCATCGTTGCTGCCGTCGGAGCGGTACCAGCCGGAGTAGTAGCCTTCCATGGAGGAGGACTTGATGTTGCCAAAACCATGGATGTCTTCACCATGCATGGGGAAAAGAGGGAGAGTCTCAATCTCTGGTGAAGCTTGCTGCTGATTGTAATATTCTTCTTCCGTCATGTTTTCTTGATCACCAAACACTTGTTTTGATGGTGATTTCTTGTCAAAGATGGAGTAGGGTGAGGAATATGGATCAACACCAACCCATGATCCTGGGTTGTGATTAAAATTATTATAATTAGATCCACCAACATGACCGGTGCTAGTACTTCCTCCAGATGATAGTGAGCAGTCCTGCAATTAACCCAAAAATTAAAAATAAAATGTAAATTTTCTTACTAACAAATGATATAATCATCTAAACTGTGGGAGGGATCTTGAGTGCAGAGGGGGAGAGCACTAACCAAATTGGCTAAAAGGGTTTGCAAATATACATTTTCAACTGTTGTTTTCATTTTAGTACCAGGAGTGGAATAGAATATGTACTGTTTTATTGGGGTCCAAATAGTTTGGCTTAATATGAGAAATGGGGAAATTTATTTCTAGTGCTTAAAGGAAACAAAGGGCCAGAGGTTTTCTTCCTTAATAAAGGAAGTTTCAAATCACTCTATGATGTTTTGTGTTGTAGATAAATTGATGACTAAACTTGCACTACTGTGCTCACATGGGTGCAAGTATTTTCATTTCTTCTTGCATTAATTCATTATTGTGTATGAATATAAATATATATATTTACAAATATAAACTTACCCTAAAGCTCTTCTCCATGGCCATGGATCCATACCCATAGTTTCCCATCTGTGCCCCAGCAGAAACATTCACACCAACTGAAGAAGATGTAGAAGAAAACCCTACATATAAAATAAACCAAATAGTAAAAACTAAAAAAAAAGTAGGAAAATTTAATAAATTAGTTAGTGAAAAAGGTCGGTCTCTAATTATCTAATTACCAGCTGGTGAACCAGAAATGTTGGAATACTTGCTGTGGTGATTAATGGGTAGTTGTTCATAAGCAGCAGCAGCAGTTGCATTAATATCAATCCCAAACCCTGATGATCTTTGCCTGATATTATCGGCTTGCGGTGGTACAGCTGGCATTGGTGGTGCTGCGTGATGATCAGGAGTAGAAGAAGAAGTGAATCTTTTCTTCTGCCTCTCACGAGCTTTGTGGTTCTGAAACCAATAGAAAACGTTCTTGCCTTCGATCTTGCCGTACTGTCGCAGTTTAGCAGAGATCCTGTGAATCTGCTCAGCGCTGGGTGATCTAATGCCATTGTTGTAGTATAGGTCCTTCAAGATTTTTATCTGATCAGTGGTGGGTGTCCACCGCGTACTGCTTTGCCTGCACATGACTCCACCCCCCTGCCTGTTGCCGCCGTCTAATAGTTCATTTGGGTTTTGTTGAGGGTCCATTGAGAGATTCTTTTGATTACGAGCGAAATTTCTACTCTAAATTATCCTAAGCTATGAGAGGAGGGTTCGAACTCGAGAGACGGTGTGACGGAGACGGTGTGACGGAGAGGAAGGACATTACAAAAGGAAGCAAACAAAATGGAGTGATGAGGAAGAGAGAATGAGGGAATGAGAGAGAAGGTAGGTGAGATAGAGAGAGAGGAAGTGCATGAAATTGAAAATAATGCTGGGATTGGGGATCAAAGGGTTATAATTAAGAGGGGGAAGGGGGAGGTGAGGAGGGGCACATGGAGAGATGAAGAGAGGAAATCAGATAAATATCTGAGAGAGAAGGACTGAAGTTGACAGAGGGAGAGTAGAGAGAGAAAGGGGTTCATAAAAAAGGGAAGGGACAGAAGAGGGATTAGAAAGGGAGGGGATCAGTGGCATAAGAATTACTTGGTTGAAAAGGCATGACCAAGAGGCATATATGAAATTATTATTTTTTATGCACTTTTTAAGAGAGAGAGAGAGAGAGAGAGAGAGAGTAATATAATATGATATGATGATGAAGTGATATAATGGATTGGAAAGAAAGAAAGAAGAGAGGGTTCTGAATGGGATTTGGATCCTCTCTCCTGAGCCCAAGGAGATGATTCTCCTGATTAAGAAGTGTGGACCGTTAGATTTTTATCTAACGATTATAATTATTATAACTTTAAAAAGAATTCCTTGTTTGTAACTGTTGGATGAAAATTCAACGATCCACACTCCTTGGGCTCAGGAGAGGATCCAAATCCTTCTGAATGAAGGAATGAACGGCCATAAAAATGATGGGGTGAGTGATTTAGAGGTTCTTCTTTCAATGGGGAGATCAATATTATCCCTTTTTTTCAGTTCTATTTTATTATCTTTAGGCGAAGAGAGCCAGCTAGCCCTAGAATCACGAAAAAAATTTAGTTGTGAATGGAACACAAGTGGTACACTACATATTTTAATAGCAATGGTGAGAAATTTTATTTTTTAAGTTATTAACTTTTTAGCACACATATCCCACCATTTGTTTAGTAACACATGATGTACCATCCCGTGTACGGTCACACTAAAATATCTCCCCCAGAACCACAAAGATACTCCTGTACTTAGCTAGGGTTGTCATGGGCAAAACTGTAAATTAAACTTGATGAAGTACTTCTCTCTGTGCCTTACATATAGGTTCCAAACTGTACTTTGAGACCCATTAGGGTTTCTATTCTTTGGTTCTTTTACCCCACTTTTAAGCTCTCATATCTTCTCTAGGAATTCCAACCTACAGTAGTTTGTAGTAATGCTAGAGCTTAGGCTTGGTGCAAATCTACTATATGTACATGTCCTGGGCCGAGCTTATATAGGTGGATATATTATATACAGCCTTGAAGAATAACTGGAGAAGTAGCTAGCCCAAATACAACATGGTAATCAATGCAATTTACTCACAGCTCCAAGCTAGCTAGCCTCTTATTGTTCATCTTCATCTGTGCCAATCAAATCTGATTCTTGACAGAAAATATATATACTCTTTGATTGAAACTAATGTTCAAGATGTGTGTGTGTGTATATATTTACAAACAATATGCGTTTCTGAAGTATATAGTGATCCCCAATTGGTTACCCTAATTTCGTAGTGTTCATTATTGTTAAGCATGTACTGTAATTTATACTTTTGATTGAAACTATTGTTTTTCCCATTATGAAAGACAAAGATCAATTATATGATCACAATGCTATTGGTGAAAGAGTAGTTATGTATGATCAACAATAGAATGTTATATGTTCTTTGAAAGATCATGACTAGTTTTGCACATTAGGATAACAGGTCATTTGTTAACAAACCGTTTAGCAATAACTTTTTTACAAGCAACGATGGCGGGATTTTGTTGACAAAAAATCAAACAATACAAGAGGGTGCCATAACGGGTACATATTCTTTACTGACCAATTCCTTAATTTAGAGAGCACAACCAACAAATGAAATAAACCACTACACGGTAAAAATCTAATGCAAAGACAGTAGGCACAACAGATGTGACACCGAATGCCAACCTGTTGAGCAATGTATAGTTAGAGAATGCTCAACCCGAACCTGAAACGCTCGTAACGTAAAAGCATTGTTAACGGGTGAACCGTTGACGAAAACTTGATCTTAATACTAATCTATGATTTTGACTTTTATACTTTTTAAGAACAAAACAAAGTATCACAATAATACTTCAGTACATAATACATCCCAATAGATTCTTCAAATAAGAGGTCCAATACAAGAAATACATAAATACATCTTGAACATGCATGTCATTACAAGAAAATTTTTAGGGAAAATTAGGTTCACATCCTTCTTTTTGTTACTCCATTGATTAAAATCCTATTCATTTTCAATTTTTGATCAAGGTCCTTGGGTATTAATAACATCATTAATTATTTGAATAATAAAATATTTTTATTTTTAAATATATTCCTTTAGTGTTAAAAATGTTACAATTAGTATATTTATATTTATGGCTAAATTTTTTATCATATATTTTTATTTTTAGTTTGTACCAATTTTAATTTGCAAATATTTTTTAATTTGTACCAATTTTCTTTTCATTTTTAATTTGTACCCATATATTAGTTTCTTTTTGTGCCCATATTTTTTAAAGTTTTATTTGTGTTTGTACCCATTTGTATACCATTACGTGACATTGTATATTTAATCAATGATAGAAAAATTACATATGGTATATTTATGTTTTATGCCTAAACTTTGTATCATATATTTATATTTTTAGTTTGTACCCACTTTTAATTTGCAACATTTTTTTTTTAAATTTGTAGTATTTTCTTTTTAGTTTTATTTTGTACCCATTTATTAATTTCTTTTAGCACCTATATTATATTTTTAAAAATTCATTTGTACTCATAATTTTTAATCTTTTATTTGTACCCTAATTTATTTATAATGTACCCATTCTTCTTTATTAATGTACCACTTTGTTATATGTGAAATGTACCAATTTTTTTAACACTATGGATACATTCTTTTGCCATTTATTATTTCTTATTTTTACATAGTTTTTATCCATTTATTCAATTAAAATGTTTGAATTTTTTTTATTATAACCGTTTCTAATAGTATTATAATGAGGGATTTTAAATTTATAGGATTATAAATCTCAGAAAATATCAAACAATTAATGTCAAAACTATAAAAATATAAATATTAATAGTAATATAATGATGTGTACAAAGTCAAGGGACCTTGATCAAACTTTGAATACTATTAAGGTTTTAATCAAAGAATGTTAAGGATTAGGGGCTGCAATCAAATTATCCCTTTTGAAAACAAGTCCGAGGCTAAAAATAATGTTCGCCTCATCTTTCAACAACCAAAGCATTCTTTGATTATCTCTTCAATGTATCTTTAGTTGTGTGGAGCATGAAAAAGGAAGAGGGAGTCTGAATCATCATCTAGATTTAAATTTAGTTGCCTATGAAATTACTATAAAAGAATCTTTCACAAACCCCAGGTTTTTATTAGGGGTGTGCAAAATACCATCGAAACTAAAAATGTTGTCAATTTAACATATATATTAATCTTCTTTTAGAAATATTATCAAAATTCATCATGTGTTGCGTATGCGAGCACTTTTCCATGTGTTTTTCACCACTCAACAATGACGCACCAGATGACTTAGAGTAAGAATTTTTGTTAGTTTTGACCTGAACCCAACTGTTATCTTGGCTCTTGTACTGAGTGGGTACAACTGTTATCAACCCGAACCGATACGCTTCAACTAAACAACGCAATTTTTTGTGCGAATTCGTGTCTTGTTAACTGTTCAGGTACAATCTTGCTATTTCTATGGATAATTGAAGATGTGCCTGGTTATGCAAAATTTAACTTATTTTTTAAAAGCATAAACCCTAGAATGAAAATTATGTACATATCACTAACCTGCTGTTTGCAAATTTTTTTCGTGGTTGCACAGTTTGAAGTATTTTGCTCACTCTGATCATTTGGTTTAGTAAGGAAAAATGATCTACTTGGATGAGATCCTAATTCGTTGCATATACTTTTGGTCACGAAAACAAGGTATAGGGGGCGACACAATATTTGGGGGTCTCTTGTAGTGCCTATTGTTGGAAAATTACGTGTGTGACTGAGTTCAAATCTCATGAAGCACAATCAAATAAAACAAACTTAGTAATGTTGTAGAAAACACGATAAGTCAAAAATTATACTTCATAGCTCTAACATAATAACTTATTGAACAAAATTAACCAACTAGAATTTAATCATGCAAACACTAAAAACGTTACTGTTATAAACATACCTTAACTATGAAAGAAACCTTATTAATTAAAAGAGTGTTGCACAAGCACAAGTGTATGAAGTGATGATCCTATTTCTGTGCAGAGATGGAGGGAGAGATGAGAGATGCGGATGATAGAACAAATATCAAGGAGTAAAGTGCAAAAGAAAGAAAGAATTCAGTGGTGTCATCATGTCTGTATAGTCCTTTATGCTACGGAGCACGCGTTTCAAAATAAATGCCAAAGCATTAAGTATGGTGTGTGTCATGGTTTTGGGAGCTCTCTCATGCATGCATGCATGTCTCAGTCTCTAGGATCATCATCAAAAGCTTCATCATTCTTTGCCACTGCCGCTTTGTTTCTACCTTCCTCTCTCTATAATTCTCACATGCACACGCAATCTACCACACTCTATATGATATGAACCCTAACCCCAAGTGGGTTTTATATCCTAATAAATAATTCATATCAATATTCCTCTTTAATCCCATGCATCTTTGCTTTGCAAACAAGAGACTAACCCTAATCCCATAAACCTCAACTGGTTTTATGTGAATTAATAGCCTAATTCAGTAGACCTATAACCCTAATGCCATAAACCTTAAACATGTACCCTACCCACCCTCACCAACCCTAGTGACTTTCATTAACATTCTTGTCTGAGCTAGCAAGAACTTGTACGCGTTAATAGTCACCTTGGCAGAGATCGAACCCTAAATCTATATATTGCTAACTTATGGGAACTTGTATTGATATTAACACGACTATGAGATCATTAAAGACCAACAGAAAATTAAGGAGGCAGTTGCATCTCTCTTTTTTTTTTCATTGGATAACTATTTTAATCTTATCATTCATTCTCACGTTATTAGAAAGTTTTCAATACTTTACTACCCAACAAGAAGAAACTCTACATCTTTCTCCTTGCTAAACTTTTGGCCAAATGGAAGCATTATTTTTACACTAAACTTGTACGTGTTTATAGTTATATTGATAGAAATCGAACCCTTAATCTA